GGGGGGTGCACTTTGAAGTCAGGCAGTCGGAAGGTTGTTCAGGGCTTGGTTCTGGCTTAGCTGGATGACCGGGCAGGTCACGTGGTTTCTCTGAGTCCAGAGTTTTCTAATCTTAAAGTGGGATTGTTCCCATTCGGCTGAATCCATGGGACCGTTGTCAGGGTTAACATGGTAAATGAAGGGGGCCAGGCGGTGGCGCAGTGGTAATGCACTGGGCCCACTTGGGAAGGTCCTAGGTTTGCATCCTGGGACTTCCCTGTGATCCGGGCTGGCTGAGGCAGGAGGCGGTTCACAGTGTGTGAGGACCCTGCTGGGGGGATCTGTCTGTCTCAACCTCTGTCTTTCATGAAATAAACTTAAAAAAAAAAAAAAAAGATGGAAAAGAAGTATTTGGCAATCTGTGAAAGAGCAGCATAAACGAGCTCTTTTTAAAAACATCAAAGGATGGCTCACACATTTCCTGGGGGGCCTCATCCCTACATTTACTGTGCACGTGTTTGACACCCCCCACCGGCCCTGCAAGAACAAACTGGACCCGGTGAAGGTCGCTTTGGGTCCTGTGATGTGCTTCTCTGTTTGCTCCTGAGTGGGGCTGGAAGGCAGGGCACAGCCTCAAGACTAGTCTCCAGGGGGGGTGGGGAGGAGGGCCAGGGCTGGGGAGTGGAGAAGGTAGAGGAGGCACTTCCCGCTGCAGGGCGGCTGTGCTTGGGCTATAGTCCCGGAGCAAGTCACCTGTGCTTTGCCCTAAGAAGTGGGGGGACGGTGGGAACGTGGAAATTCGAGTTGTGAATCCCAAGCCGGTGAAGGCACAGGGTGTCCGTGCGCGGTAGCTAAACCCTGCTGTGAGCACTTGTCCAAAATCAGCTCCTCTGAGCCTCACAGCAACCCCAGCAGGAAGGTGCTGTTAGTGCCTCTTCTTCTTAGCCTCCCCTTTTGTTTTGTTTGGTTTTCCAAAGGGCATTTGAGCACACCAGAGAGAGAGGCAGAATCCCCCAATGAGGCGTCTCGCCACGATCCCTTTCCCTTCATTTCTGCACCCAGTCAGGACTTGGGGTACGCATGCACATGTACCTGGCATGTTTTCCAAGACGCTGGGCTGGGATTCCAATCACGTGGGATCTGGTTTCCAACAGACTGTGGAGCTGGCCCACCTTTGCTTTAAAAGAAAAGTTTATTTCTTCCGTGCCTCCCATGAGAGTGAGAGAGAAAGAGCAGGACAGAGATACGGCACCCTCGACTCCCGACAGAGTCTTGGTGCCTCTCTCTCCCCCAGCCTCAGCAGGCCCCGGGCGTGTGGACGTGGGTGTCCTGCACACTCGGGTCTCCAGAAAGAACGCAGCGCCCTCCCGTGGAGGTCGGCCTCCAGAGCACGTTTTACTGCTGTGCCGCCCTGCAGGCCTCTGCCTCCACTTTGCGGATGGGGAAACCGAGGTGAAGAAAGCATGAATAGCTCGCTGTAAGTCACGCAGCCAGCCGGTGAAGTGCTGGGCTGGAAATCCAGGTAGCCTAGCCTAGCCTTTCTCGGGTTTTCCTATTAAGAGAAGCACCTGGGGAACCAGCAGTTAGCGTAATGGCTATGTCGCTGGACTCCCACGTAGTCGACCACGGTTCGAGTCCCGGACCCAGTGGCTTAAAACTCACGCTGGGCGCGTGTGCGTGCGTGCCCAAGATCCCGAGAGGAGAACGGAGGAGAAGGGATTGCGGTGTGACCATCCCCCCTGGGGGGTATTTCTTGCTTTCTGTCTCTATGTCTCTCTCTGTCTGTCTGGCGAGCGCACGCGCCCTACAGTGAAAATCTCTCCAAAAAAAAAAAAAAAAGAGAAGCACCTGGAGGAGCTGGCAGGTGGCACAGTGGTTAAGGTGCTGGACTCCTACATGGTGGACCACGGTTCGAGTACTAGACCTGGCAGCTTGCTTGCTCATTCTCCCTCTCTCTGGTGAGCGTACATGCCCTATAATAAATCGAAATAATAAAAATAGTAAACAAATACTTTTTTTTTTTAAGAGAGAAAGAGAGGCACCTGGAAGACTGGAATTCCTGAGCCCAACCTTGACCAGGGGTTCAGCATTTTAAATAAATATTCTAGGATTCTTTACTTCAGGGACGTGTGGGCAACTGCACCGGGCAGTGCTGGGGAAACGTGAGCACGAAACCTGCTTGTGAGTAGAAGGTTCAGGAAAGGCCATCCAGGACTGAGCCGGAGGGCCTTCCTGTCGTCACTGACTCAGACACCTGGGTTGTGGGACGTGCCGTGACGCCATGAGCTGTAGAAAGGAAAGCGTTTCTCATCAGACCGTGGCCTCAAACATCAGCCATGTTGGAGTACGAACAAAGGGGCGTCTCAGGAGAGATGAGCTCTCTGGGCTGGGACCAGACTTGGGGGCTTAGAAACCAGGGCAGCAGTGCCTCCTTGAGTCCGAGGCAAGGGAAACAGCTGGGTGGGCCACCTGGCGCAGTGGCAGGACCCACCTGGGCTGGCTCAGCTCTGCCTCGCCCGGCCATCGTGTCCCGGGGCTGGTGGCTTTCGCTCTCGGTGGGAGCTGCCTCTGTGTCTCTCAAGCTGTCAGCACAGGAGAGAGGAGGTGACAAGATCACACCAGTGCAAGGCGGGAGGCAGCAGGCTGGCACACCCGCCCCGCTGACCCCTCTTGTCCCCTCAGCCACAGGCCTGATGATTGGCTGCCTGGTCTACCCGGATGGCTGGGACTCAAGCGAGGTGCGGCGCATGTGTGGAGAGCAGACGGGCAAGTACACGCTGGGCCAGTGCACCATCCGCTGGGCCTTCATGCTGGCCATCCTCAGTATCGGCGACGCCCTCATCCTCTCCTTCCTGGCGTTCGTGCTGGGCTACCGGCAAGACAAGCTCCTCCCCGATGACTACAAGGCGGACGGCAAAGGTAACCTGGCCTCCCCACAATGTCACCCCGGCCTGGGGATCCTGGGGATGGGGTGGGATTCTTCCCAGCCAGTCACCTGAGGCTTGGCCTTGGCCATTGGGCAGGGGCACCAAGGTCGATCAGACGCAGCCCTTGTCCCCTCCAGGACAAAGGCCAGTGGAGGGCTGCAAGCTGGCAGGTGGTACAGCAATGGGAGACCCGTGTAGAGAGGCTGCCTGTGAGGGAGGGGTGCTCTCCACCCTCAGAGTACAGGGAGAGAGCGTCCTCCAGCCTGGGAGCAGAACCTGGTCTCCCCGAGAAGGAGGCACTGAGGCTGGGTCCCGAGTAATCGTGGGAGCTTGTTAGATGGGAAGAAACAATGGGGAGCAGAGGGGCGAGCTGCTGGGGAGGGGAAGAAGGCCAGTCTAGCTGGGATACATGAGGATGGCCCAGCACGCTCAGAGGTGACAGCCACAGCAGTGCAGCGGGTGGAGCCCGAGTTCCGACGTCGGGCAGCCTTGAGGCCCTTCGTGTGTCCATCCTGTTTCATCCCCTCATTCGGATCCTACCCACTAGTCATAGGTCCAGGCGGAACCTCCAGGAGGCTTCATGAAGCCTACGGCTTCCCGTTGGTCTCCTTCCCGCCTTGGCCACTCCTTAGGCTCTTCCCTGTCTGGCTAGAGGGGCTTTTTCAGAACATGCACCTCATCTGGTAGTCAGTGGGTGGGGCCTGCTACACCCCTGTGAATCCAGGAACGCCTGCTCTCACCTGGTGGCCACCATTAGGGACCTGTGGCACCCGAGGGGCTTCGTCAATCTCTTTTCCCCACAGTCGTCTTCATATTAGCCCTCAGACCTGGACGAGAAGCAGCCAAACCCCTTTGTCCCCATGTGGCCCAGACGCTTCCCACATGACGAATTTGAGGCCCAGGAGGGAGACTTCCCCAGAGGTTCCAGGAAGGTGGTGCGAGGCAGGGAGGAGCCCAGAATTCAGGTCTTCTCGGGCTGAGCCTGGGCCTGCGTCTCTGCAGGAAAGCCCCCTGAGTCACTGCACCGTTTTCAAGGTGGAAGACGAGACTCACGTACCTGTTATGTATTAAAGATGGAAGCCAGCCAGATTACCAGAAAGAGCTGGGCCAGCGAGAAGAAGAGAAGAGGAGGTGTTTTCCATTGCAGTAGACGCTGGCAGCTCTCGGGTTGTGGAAGGCTTAGGGCTGGGTCCTTTGAGGACCCCGTACCGGGAAGGGAAATGGAGCTAACATTGACTGATCTCTTCCATGTGCAGGAGCGATACAAGGTGTGTTCACGGGGGCCTTTGTTAACCAGCACAGCAACCCCGTGAGGAGCTGTCTGGACTGGGGATCCTAGCAGCTATGCACACACCAGCACTTTCTCCAGGGAAGGAGGTTTGTCCAGAGAGAACTTAGCAGGAGCTGTTGACATTTCACATAGTCTCAGCCTCAAGGCAGGCCCGCTTTACATCTGCTTTGTGGGGCCGGCAGGTGGTGTGGTGGTTAAGGCTGCTGGACTCCCACATGGCCAGCCGTGATTCGAGTCTCGGACCTACTGCTGGACTTTCTCACTTTTGCTCTCTCTCTGTCTCTCTCTGGTAAAATTAAAACAAACAAATAAATAAAGTTGAAGAAAATAATTATTTAAAAAAATTAGATCTGCTTTGATATGGGGCTGGCAGGTGGCATGGTGGCTGACGTGCTGGATTCTCACGTGACTGACTACAGGTCGAGTCCCATACCTGGAAGCTTGCTTTTTTTCTCTCCCTCTGTCTCTTTTTTGGTCAAATTTTAAAATAATAATAATAAATCAAATTAAGTAAATAATTCTTTTTTTCAAGAGACAGTTTTGCTATAGGATATGTGTGCTCATCAGAGAGACAGAGAGAGACAGAGAGAGAGGGAGAATCCCCCCTAGGGGGGATGGCCATACCACAATCCCTTCTCCAATCTCCTCTCAGGGTTTTGGGCACACACACACATACATGCCCGGCGTGAGTTTTAAGGCACCCATCTGGGACTCAAACCGTAGTTGATTACATGGGAGTCCAGCGATATAACCATTATGCCATCTGGTCCCAATAAATAATTCTTTCCAAAAATATCTGCCTGGATGCATACACAGTCTCTCTACTTGTTTGCATTCTTTCTTTTTTCAGAAGATAATTTTTTAGTCAAAACCAAATTTTATTCACATAAATTCCCTTTAAAGGACTTTCTTACTCTTTTTAAATTGGGACTTACCTATTTTATTTATTATATTTTTAAAAGGTTTTTGCCCTAGGGCACACATGCTCATCAGAGAGAGAGAGATAGAGATGGTGAGAGAGAAAGTAAGAAATCATCCCCTAGGGAGATAGATGGCCATGCCACAATTCCTTCTCCTCTGTTCCGCTCCCAGAATCTGGGCACACACGCACACGCCACCGGGTCCAGGACTCAAACCGTGGTCAGCCATGTGGGAGTCCAGCAATGTAACCACTACACCATCTGCTGGTCCCACTTATTTTACTTTTTTAAGTGCAGGAGGATACATGCACTAGCGAGAGACAGAGAGACAGAGAAAGAGAAAAAAACAAGCACCCCTCAATGGGGTGTGGTCGCACCACAACCCCCCGTTTTCCTCCACTTATGCATTTGTCAGCCCATCAGGATTTTGCGCATGCCTACGCTTTTCTAGCTGGCAGGGCCACAGCTCGAACTGCAGTAGGCCATGGGGGAATCACAGCTCACGGTGCTTACCTGGTGTGCTACAGGCGCCAGCCCTTAAGTCCTTTCTTGAGAAGAGATGTTTTGTTCATTTGACATTTCATTAATTCATCAAAATGTCAATAACTCGATTCTTCTTCCTTGTCTGCCTTCTTTCATATCCATGCACTTTGTCCTCTATCTTTTCAGATTTATTTCTCCCCATATTTTAGTTTTTTCACTAGCAAAAGTTAGTTTTAGTTTGTTTGTTACCTTTCAAATGCATCCACATAACCATTCTGAAAACTTCTAGTTACTCAATGAAAGTCCTTACTTTTTCTGTCAAAGCATGAAATTGGGGTCAGGAGAATCAGCTTTGAGTCCCAGTTCTTCCAAGCCTTTTTCTTATTTTTTAAAGTTTTGCTTTCAGGTGTGTGTGCTCACTGGGGAGAAACAAAAGATTTAGAGAAAGAAGGAAAGTGAGAAATCATCCTCCAGGTGTGGCCACACCACAACGCCTTCTCTCCACTCTCTCCTTGGGATTTTGGACATGCATACGCAAACACCTGGCATGATCGTTAAACTGCCAGGTCCACAGTTCAGACTACCTAGTCAGCCATGTGGGGTCCAGTCACCTTAAACTCCATGCCACCTGCGTCCCTTCCCAGTCATTCTTACCCGAGCGTTCTTTCCACAGGCACGAAGTGTCCGGATCCTCTCTGCAGACCTTGTGCTGTAATTTGAGGGCCAATGAGGCAGTGCTAGGAGGTGGAACTTGGTGGGAGGTGCTAGGGACATGGAGGTGGTTCCTCATGAATAATTAATGCTGTCTCTGGGGAGGGCTCAAGTTCGGGGAGAATGGGTTGACATTCACACAAGTTGGGGCCCAGCTGCAGAAGTATGTGCTGGTAGACACTGCTCCTCAGCAGGCTCAGCCTTACGGGTTTAATGCTCAGCTCACCCTAAAAGTCAGCACAGTATCTACTTGGGAGTCTCAGATAGAAAGACCTCAACAGAAAGAGACCCTGTCTTTTTTTTTTTTTTTGGAGAGGTTTTCGCTATAGGGCGCGTGCGCTCGCCAGACAGACAGAGAGAGAGACATAGAGACAGAAAGCGAGAAATCACCCCCCAGGGGGAATGGTCACGCCGCAATCCCTTCTCCTCCATTCTCCTCTCGGGATCTTGGGCATGCACGCACACGCGCCCGGCGTGAGATTTAAGCCACCAGGTCCGAGATGCGAACCGCGGTCGACTACGTGGGAGTCCAGCGACATAGCCATTACGCTAACTGCTGGTTCCCATACCCTGTCTTAAAACAAAACAAAACTTGCTTGCCTGCAGAGCTTTCTGTCTTTACACATACCCGCTTTTCTTTCAGCCTCAACAAAACATTGTCGAAAGAAATGAAAGACTTAAAGAAATAAAAGACCTGGGAACCGGCAGTTAGCGTAATGGCTATGTCGCTGGACTCCCATGTAGTCGACCGTGGTTCGAGTCCGGGACCCGGTGGCTTAAACTCACGCCGGGTGCATGTGCGTGCGTGCCCAAGATCCCGAGAGGAGAATGGAAGAGAAGGGATTGCAGAGTGACCATCCCCCCTGGGGGGTGATTTCTCACTTTCTGTCTCTATGTCTCTCTCTGTCTGTCTGGCGAGTGCACGCGCCCTATAGCGAAAACCTCTCCAAAAAAAAAAGGAAAGAAAAGAAAAGAAATAAAAGACCTAAAGAAATAGAAAGACATCCTACATTCATGGATGAAAAGATTTCTTTTTCTTCTTTTTTGGAGAGGTTTTTGCTACAGGGCGCGTGCATTTGTCAGAGAGAAAGAGAGAGACAGGGAGACAGAAAGCGAGAAATCACCCCCCCAGGGGGGATGGCCATGCCGCAATCCCTTACTCCTCCATTCTCCTCTCGGGATCTTGGGCACGCATGCACATGTGCCTGGCGTGAGTTTAAGCCACTGGGTTAAACTGCTGGTCCCAAGGGGACCAGCAGATAGCGTAATGGCTATGTCACTGGACTCCCGTGTAGGCGACCATGGTTCGAGTCCCAGACCCAGTGGCTTAAACTCACGCCAGGCACATGTGCATGCGTGCCCAAGATCCCGAGAGGAGAATGGAGTAGTAAGGGATTGCAGCATGGCCATCCCCCCTGGGGGGGTGATTTCTCGCTTTCTGTCTCTCTGTCTCTCTAGTGAGCACACACGCCCTATAGCAAAAACTTCTCAAAAAAAAAAAAAAAGAGTTCAGTAATAGACCCAAACACTTACGTCTAATTGACTTCAGCAAGGGAGAAAGACCATTCAGTACAGAAAAGAATAATTTTCCAGCAAATCATGCTGGAACAACCAGATATCTACATGCAAAAGAATAAAGTTGAACCCTTACCTCGTGCCTTATAAAAAAACTAACACAAAATGGTTCAAAGACCTAAATATAAGATACCAAACTATAAAAATCTTAGAAGAGGGGCCAGCAGGTGGCATAGTGGTTAAGGCGCTGGACTCTCAGATGGTTGACCACAGTTCAAGTCCTGGACCTGGAGGCTTGCTTTTTCACTTTTTCTGTCCGTCTGTCTGTCTTTCTCTGATGAGCACATGTGCTCTAGAGCAAATTAAAAAAATAATAATAATGGAACCAGTGGTTAGAGTAATGGCTATGTTGCTGGATTCCCATATAGTTGACTGCAGTTCGAGTCCTAGACCTGGTGGCTTAAACTCACACTGGGCGCGTGTGCGTGCGTGCCCAAGATCCTGAGAAGAGAATGGAGGAGAAGGGATTGAGGCATGGCCATCCTCCCAGGGGTGATGTCTCTCTTTCTATCTCTCTGTCTCTGTCTTTCTGGCAAGCGCATGTGCCCTATAGCAAAAACCTCTCCAATAATAGTAATAATAATAACACATAAAATTAAATACATAATTCTTAAAAAAAATAAAGAAGAAAATGGGACCAGCATTTGGTGTAATGGCTATGTCTTTGGACTCCCATGCAGTCATCCGCAGTTTGAGTCCCAGACCCGGTGGCTTAAACTCACGCCGGGCACGTGTACATGCGTGCCTAAGATACCAAGAGGAGAATGGAGGAGAAGGGATTACAGCATGGCCATCTTCCTTAGAGGGTGATTTCTCACTTCTGTCTCTCTGTCTCTCTCTGTCTTTCCGGTGAGCTCACATGTCCTATAGCAAAAACCTCTCAAAAAAAAAAGAAAAATGAAAAACATACGTTCACAGAAAAACTTATACACATAACAACATGATAGCCAATGAGTGAGAACAACCCAAATGTCCATCAACTAATGAATAAAAAACAAAATCAGTATATCCATACAATGAAATATCATCCAGCCATAAAAATAAATGAAGTACTGGGAAACCAGCAAGTGGCGTAGTGGTTAAGACGCTGGACAAACCCACGTGGCCGACCACGGTTTGAGTCCTGGACCTGGTGGCTTGCTTTCTCACTTTCTCTCTGTCTCTCTTTAGTCAAATTGAAATAAATGAGTAAATAAAATTAAATAAATAATCTTTTAAAAAAATGAAGTACTGATAACTGCTCCAACGTGGGTGAACCTTGAAAATATGAAAAGTGATGGGCCAGCAGGTGGCGTGATGGTTAAGGCCGCTGGACTCCCACATGGCTGACTGCAGTTCAGGTCCCGGCCCTGGCAGCTTGCTTTCTCAATTTCTCTCTCTCTGTCCCTCTCTAGTTAAAGTAAAATAAATAAATAAAGTTAAATAATATAATTATTTAAAAAAAAAACCCTGCAAAACTCTATTAAGAACACATATGTAAGACTTTTTAAAAAAAGAAAACCTAGTGGAAGAAGCCAAACATGAAAGACTGGCTTCCATTTGTACGTATACTATTCCATTTATATACAATGTTCAGATTAGGAAAAGAAAACTGAGACTGGAAGCAGATGAATTGCCGCCTGGGGCAGGAAGAAGGAAGAATAGAAGGTGCTAATTAGGGCAGGGCTTCCTTTTAGGGTGCTGGAGTGTTTTAGAGTCAGACAGCGCTGATGGTTGCATAATCCAGTGACCGCACTACAAACAGCTCCGTTAAATGAGTACATTTGATGCTGGGAATTATTTATTTAACTTTAGTTATTAATTCAATCATTTTTGTTTGACCAGAGAAAGACAAACACACAGAGAAAAGGAAAGTGAGAAAGCAAGTCACCAGGTCTGGGACTCAAACTGTGGTCAGCCATGTGGGAGTGTCTAGGGCCTTAACCACCATGCCACCTGCTGGTCCTTTTTTTTGAGAGAGATTTTTGCTACAGGGCTTGTGTGCTCGCCAGAGAGACAGAAAGAGAGACATATAGACAGAAAGCGAGAAATCACTCCCCAGAGGGGCTAGCCACACGGCAATCCCTTCTCCTCCATTTTCCACTTTGGATGCACACACACACATGTGCCTGGCTTGAGTTTTAAGCTGCTGGGTGGGTCCAGGACTCGAACCACAGCTGACCATGTGGGAGTCCAGCGATGTAACCATTATGTCATCTATTGGTCCTGGTGAATTTTATATATGTATATATTAGAGAGATTTATTGCTATAAGGAACATGTGCTCACCGGAGACAGAGACAGAGGTGAGAAATCACCCTCCCTGGGGAGATAGGTTCACTGAAATTCCTTCTCCTCCATTCTCCTCTTGGAATTTTGGGCATGCATGCACACATGCCCGGTGTGAGTTTTAAGCTGCCAGATCCAGGACTCGAACCATGGTCAACTACATGGGAGTCCAGCAACATAACGTTATGCCCTCTTTTGGTCCCTGGTGAATTATATTATTAAAAACAGGGGCCGGCAGGTGGCATGGTGGTTAGACACTGGATTTCCACATGGCTGACCGTGGTTTGAGTCCCAGACCTGGTGGCTTGTTTTTCCCTTTCTGTCTCTGTCTGATCAAATTAAAAAATGATAATAGCAAATGGAATTTAAAAATAAATGATTATTTTTAAAAACTGTGCTGAGGATTCAGTACCACGTACAGAGCACTGATGCTGTCTGTACATTGTAGAGAATTAGTAAATACTAATCTGACCCGGCCCAGAAGGTGCAGGCAGTAGCACACCGGAATTCAGTGCTGGGCACCGCAGGTTTGGATCCTTGAATTGGCCTGAAAACATCCTGGGTGAATTCAAGGGCAACTGAGATCCTGAGGAGCTGGAGGGCGGGAGTCACAGCATGACAAGATTCTGTTGAGGGTTATCCTTTTCTGTCCCTTGAGTGCTTTCTATCATTAAAAAAAAAAAAAAAAAGATTCATTTCCTGTCTTTTTAGTATCTCCACTTGTTAAAAGCTTATTTATTTCTTGAGAGAGAGAGAGAGAGAGAGAGAGAGAGAGAGACAGGACCCCCAACAGTGTCCAGCCCCAGCCCCAGCGCTCCAGATGGCGGGCATGTATGATGTATGTGCCTGGCATGCTCAGGGAGTTCTCAGATATGAACCTGCAGCCTTCCCATGCGGGTTAGCTTCACGGAGAGCCGTGTTGTACCACTGTGCCACCCTGTGGCCCTCGGTAGCGCTACTTCTTAGGCCACCTGCCCGCCGGTAACGCCACCGTGCTCCCGCTGCCCACCCACAGCTCCAGGCGCCTCTTAACACAGGCGTGCGGAAATCTGCTCCAGAGCTTCCCGCTGGCAAGGAAGACTCTCGGGCAATGCACATGACAAGCGGTAAACATTATGCAGGAAAGCTCACTTTCTGGAAAGTGAGGCATCTGTTCTATTAATAGTTTGGAGTGCGCAGTAAACACAAGGCTTGGTCGTAAATACGTACTGTTCTCTCTTTCATTGCAGAGGAAGTGTGAAGCGCTGGCGGCCGGTGAGTAATTCTACCGGAGGGTGGTCTGTGTGCCTTTGGAAACGCCGGGGCCTCTGGGCTTCCTGATCAAATCCGCGGGCGGATGACTCATGGGGTTGGACTGTAGGCGCAAGGTGTGGCCAGGGAATAGTGGGTGGGGTGCAGGAGCTGTCTGGCTTCTGAGACCATCACTAGGGGGCAAACAGGAAGCCTTTAGTTTTACTTGTACTGTAAGATGTGGGAAAAGAACAGGGAGAGAAGAAATAATTTAAAACAGGCAGGGGGTTAGTTTTGTTGTGGTGTCTGGCAACAAGAACGGACTGTTTTTAGAAGTCATTGTCATTTGGATTCTATTTTCAGAAAAATTTTTAAGTGATTTGTAAAAAAACATATTAGAAAGCCTACTAAAATAAAAAATAAAAGCCATAGAGAGGAAAGAAAATATTCAAGAAAGCTAGACTAACAGAATTACTATATTGGATGTTAAATTTAGCTCTATGCTTCCCGATAGCTGAGGCAGAAAGAAAAAGTTTTGATGTTGGTTCAAAAAATGACAGTGTATTAATATCTCTTTTTAAAAAATAATTTTATTTAACTTTATTTATTCATTTATTTTAATTTGACTAGAGAAGGACACAGTGAGAGAGAGAGGGAAAGTGAGAAAGTAAGCCACCAGGTCTGGGTTTAGTATCTCCACTTGTTAAAAGCTTATTTATTTCTTGAGAGAGAGAGAGAGAGAGAGAGAGAGAGAGAGAGAGAGACAGGACCCCCAACAGTGTCCAGCCCCAGCCCCAGCGCTCCAGATGGCGGGCATGTATGATGTATGTGCCTGGCATGCTCAGGGAGTTCTCAGATATGAACCTGCAGCCTTCCCATGCGGGTTAGCTTCACGGAGAGCCGTGTTGTACCACTGTGCCACCCTGTGGCCCTCGGTAGCGCTACTTCTTAGGCCACCTGCCCGCCGGTAACGCCACCGTGCTCCCGCTGCCCACCCACAGCTCCAGGCGCCTCTTAACACAGGCGTGCGGAAATCTGCTCCAGAGCTTCCCGCTGGCAAGGAAGACTCTCGGGCAATGCACATGACAAGCGGTAAACATTATGCAGGAAAGCTCACTTTCTGGAAAGTGAGGCATCTGTTCTATTAATAGTTTGGAGTGCGCAGTAAACACAAGGCTTGGTCGTAAATACGTACTGTTCTCTCTTTCATTGCAGAGGAAGTGTGAAGCGCTGGCGGCCGGTGAGTAATTCTACCGGAGGGTGGTCTGTGTGCCTTTGGAAACGCCGGGGCCTCTGGGCTTCCTGATCAAATCCGCGGGCGGATGACTCATGGGGTTGGACTGTAGGCGCAAGGTGTGGCCAGGGAATAGTGGGTGGGGTGCAGGAGCTGTCTGGCTTCTGAGACCATCACTAGGGGGCAAACAGGAAGCCTTTAGTTTTACTTGTACTGTAAGATGTGGGAAAAGAACAGGGAGAGAAGAAATAATTTAAAACAGGCAGGGGGTTAGTTTTGTTGTGGTGTCTGGCAACAAGAACGGACTGTTTTTAGAAGTCATTGTCATTTGGATTCTATTTTCAGAAAAATTTTTAAGTGATTTGTAAAAAAACATATTAGAAAGCCTACTAAAATAAAAAATAAAAGCCATAGAGAGGAAAGAAAATATTCAAGAAAGCTAGACTAACAGAATTACTATATTGGATGTTAAATTTAGCTCTATGCTTCCCGATAGCTGAGGCAGAAAGAAAAAGTTTTGATGTTGGTTCAAAAAATGACAGTGTATTAATATCTCTTTTTAAAAAATAATTTTATTTAACTTTATTTATTCATTTATTTTAATTTGACTAGAGAAGGACACAGTGAGAGAGAGAGGGAAAGTGAGAAAGTAAGCCACCAGGTCTGGGACTCGAACCACGGTTGGCCATGTGGGAGTCTGCCCTTAAACACCACGCCACCAGCTGGCCCCTACAGTGTTTTAATTTCTTTACTGTCTTTTATGCTTTCAAAATGTGATTTAACAAAAACGTTAAGGAATATATTTTTTTAAAAAAGAACCCCCCACAGTAGTGTCACCTCCCCAGTAGCTGCCATTTATGACGACCTGTGGCAGGCCAGGAGCTGTGTGGGTAGGTGGGATTATATTCATTCAAACTTTTTTGCAAAGTACCTTCCAATCCTTGACGACATAGATACACTTTTTTGAATAATTATAAATAGTTCCCCCACCCTACCTAAATATTTTTAAGAGTAACAGTATGTATAAAAAATTACCTGGAGATCTTGTTAAAATGCATAGTTTCCTCCTGGTCCTTTTTCCCCAGTATGCTGAACTCACTGAAGAGAAAGAGGGAGTAGAGGAGAGGGAGAAAGTACCCCCCCAAAATTGGGGTGTGGTCATATCAGAATCCCTGCTCCATTTCTTTGTCCTGTTGGGGACAAAGAATTTGGGGCTTGCACATGCACACCTACCGAGTTTTTAAAGCTGCAGGGACCGGGATTTGAACTGTGGTCAGCCATGTGGGATCCAACTCCCTTAACTACTAGGCCAGGGTTGGCCCTAAAATGCAGGTTCTGGTGCAACTGGTGGACAGGGGCTACAGGTGCTGCCTCCCTCCCTTCCTTCTTTCTTCCCTTTCTAAGTTTCCTTCTTTCAAGAGAGAGCGTTTGAGAGAGAGATAAGACCCTTGACAGGGTCTCATACCGAAGTCCTGCCCAGCCTCCCAGGCAGGCAGGGTCACTGGTGCACGCAGACATCCGGTGTGTTCAGGTCACCCTAGGATCTGAACCCGGGTCTTCCACCTGGCTCCAGTGTTGTGCAGTGGTACCCTACCGCTGTGGCAGGGTCAGAAGCTGCATTTCTAACTGGCTTGTGGGTGGGCTGCCGGCACAGTAATCACTTAGAGTAGCAAATTATTAGAGTGCAACTTTTTCCCTGTTGTTTTTGCAATATTATTATTTTTTAAAGAATTATTTCCTTTATTTTATCATGATTATTTTGTAATTTGACCAGAGCGAGACAGAGAGAGAGAGAAAAAGACAAAGCAAGCTACTTGAACTGTGGTCAGCCATGTGGGCATCCAGCGCCTTTTAACCACCACGCCACCTGCCGGCCCTGCAGTTTTATTTTTTATGAGAGAGAGTGCAAGCAGACGAAGGAGGAAGAGGTGGGTTTCTTGAGAGGACCTTGCCACACTGAGTTACCTTCTGCCCTACCTCCTGGCCAGCTAGAATCATAGGCACGTACCACGAGCCTGGCCTGTTCAGGTTGGGGCAGGAACTTTTTAAAAATATTATTTATTTAATTTATTAATTAATATTATTATTTTCATTTAACCAGAGAGAGACAAAGAGGGAGAGAAAGGGAAAGTGACAAGGCAAGCTGCCAGGTCTGGGGTCTGAACCACAGTTGGCCATGTGGGAGACAGCGTCCAACCCCCCACCACCTGATGGCCCTGGGTCGGGAACTTAACCTGGGCCTCCATGAGGCCTCAGCCATTGTGCAGCATTACCCGCTCACTTGTTTCACTGCAGCTGGGATGCAATATTATTAAAGCTGCATTTTGTTTTAAAATTCTGCCAGAGGGTACGTGCACTCACTAGAGAGGGAAAGCAAGAAAAGTGAGAAATCCCCCCACCCCCCATGGAGAAGAGCCATGCCACAATCCCTTCCCCATTCCTCTTTCCTTTCAGGATTTTGAGCATGCATGCATACGTGCCTGGTGTGTTTCTCAAACCACTGGGTCCAGGACTTGAACTGTGGTCAGCCATGTGGGACCTAGCCACCGCAACCATGTTACCAACTGGGCCCGTTTATTAGTTTTATAAAGCCACACATTTCTCAGTATGGGTGTACCGTTATTTCCTGAACCAAACCTTGGTTCCCAGACATTTAGTGTTAACTCTAATAGTCAATAATTTTACTTTTATTGGCAAATTCCCAAATGGAATTACTGAATCAAAGGACACCTTACACCTCTATGTCTGCCTTTTAAGTTTTTATTTTTTGGCACTACATTTTCTTTAAAGAATTATTTAATTTTATTTATTATTATTTTTAAAATTTGCTGCAGGGCACAAGCACTCACCAGAGAGAGAGAGAGAGAGAGAGAAAGCCACCAGGTTCAGGACTTGAACTGCAATTGAGCGGGCCTGAGGTTCAGTTCCTGGGCCAACCTGAACACGCTGCTTGTGCATGTGATGCTGGCTGGCTGGCAGGCTTTGGGGTAGGGATCATGGTCTGACAAGACCGTGTTGGGAAAGTACCCCCCCCATGAAATAAACTTTTTTAAAAAAAAGTGACCACACATATGATGTTTCTATTAGCTTTAAAAAGTGACAAATTTTATAATCTTGCAATCTTTTTTTTTTTCTTTTAACACAGGTATATTTCCCAGACAATGGAAAGTTACAGAATCGAATTCTTCAGAGTCCAGATGCCTTCCAAGCTCCCTTGCTTCTGGCTACCACAGGCCAGAAGCCTTTCTTTTTTCTTTTTAAAGTTTTTTGCTATAGGGTGTGTGTGGCTGTGTGAGCAAAAGAGAAAGAGGGAGTCACCCCGGGGGAGGGGGTGGCCATGCAGCGATCCCCTCTCCTCCATTCTACTCTTGGGTTTTGGGGCATCCACGCACACAGCGTGATTTTCAAGCCACCTGGTCAGGGACTCCAACTGCGGTCAACGACATGGGAGTCCAGCGACATGGCCATTACGCTAACTGCTGGGCCTGTGGTCAGAAGCCTTTCATGGAGGATGAGAACCTGTTGGTCTCTTGAGTGAAGACTTGGAATGTCCTCAGAGAACTCTTCGGGTGAAGCCAAGCTGCAGTGACCCACGTGAAAGCTATTCAGACGCTGAGTGGTGTGGAGGGTGCTGACCTACTGAGGATCAAGTTCTCTTCCCGCCCCTCTCACCGGCGAGTCACTGTACCCTCTCGAGGCTCTTGTCTGCAAGCTGAGGGCTGAAGCAGTCCATCTCTAGAGGCCTCCAGGTCTGAGTCCCGACAGTCTGAATGCAGGACACACTTGGGGGCACACGGAGATGCCCAACCAGCTCCGAAAGGGCTTCTGAGGAAGAGGTGGCTGGACCTGCTGCCAACAAGCTGGATCGTTTCAAGTTGAGGTTTAGAGGGGGCTTTGTTCTTCCTTTTGACTTTTTGTTTTCTTATTGCTGCTCAGAGTGGGAAAGGGAGTGCAGGCCCCAGCATCCTTTAATATCCATTGGAAATCTAACGGAAGATCAGGTGGACGTAAGAGCAAACACTGATTTGACCTTGTCTTCCCTGGGTACCGAAAATCACATTCCCTCACTGCGTCCACACTGACCCACACAGAATTGGCTACCAGCTTTAGAAATTTCTGTCTTAAGTAATTCGTTATCGAAATGACATTTCTTGTCAAAAACTTTAGATTTAGCATACTAAATGGTGGGGCTCAATTTAGGTAATACTTCAGTGAAGCAAATGCCAAGACAAAAATAGGTTCTCAGGCCGTTTGCTCCCTGGGGGCGGTGCATGGCAACAGGATCCTGAGGACAGGGTTTTTCTGGTCTTTGCCCATTTACAGTTAATTCAGTGAGAAACTACCTGCAGATGCTATTCTCTCCCAGGTGGAGAGGGGACAAATGCGGAAGGAAATTAACTCTTGTGTTCACTCGAACAAATCACAGTAAGGGACACAGAAAACGCTCTCCCTTGTTTCTGCTGTAGGGCACATAGAGGGACAGTGAGAGAGCATCCCCAGGGTGGGGTGGCCACACTGCAGTCCCCTTTCTTCTTCTCCTCTTGGGATTCTGGGCACCCACACACACAGGCCCCGTGTGATTTTTAAGCTGTCATGTCTGAGTCTCAAACCACCGAGTCAGCCATGTGGGATCCAGCAGCCTTCACCTCCACACTGCCTGCCGACCACGGGAAGCGTTCTTGTGCTTGGTGCGGTCACTTGCTAACCGACGTACCCTGACAACCTGCCGTGTGCTGGTTCCTATTCGGGTCAGAGAGGCGGGGAGTACACCCGTGTTGCCTGACTCGGACACCAATTGTGGGTGAGTGGCTCATCTGCCCAGCGACTAGTTTATGAACACCACTACATTCATAGCTTTAGTCCGTAGTTACCTAGGCAAGCCTGATAAACCACAGAACTTGACAAATTCCCAAAAGCAACTTCTAAAGAGGTTCAAGAACTTTGTGAAAACCTAACTCTCCAAATTTGTTTCCCTGAAATGGTCAACTACGGGGACCTGCAGCGGCTATGGGGGCTTCCAGCCCCGTCTGCCTTCTGAGCACATCCTGTTCTTGCCAGGGAGTTTCAAAGTCTGAGTGAAAGAAGTAGGAAAGCAAGAGTGGTCACCAAATGGCCAGTGCTGGGGAAAACGCGACTGTCTGTGCGTCACGTGATTCACCATTTCACCCTTGGCTTTATTTTCGAGGAAACTAAGGATCAACCTGACAGTAATGATTTGGGTTCAGAGACCTCCTGCTTCTAAGCTTCTCAGGTAGCTTTACCTTTGAAACAAATTCTTAAAGGCACCTTTGAATGTCATTTGTTTGAGTGTATAAACATCAATAAAGTCAGCATTCTTCTGAAGTTGCCTATTTTTTCACTGTTCAGAAGCTGCATTTCTAACTGGCTTGTGGGTGGGCTGCCGGCACAGTAATCACTTAGAGTAGCAAATTATTAGAGTGCAACTTTTTCCCTGTTGTTTTTGCAATATTATTATTTTTTAAAGAATTATTTCCTTTATTTTATCATGATTATTTTGTAATTTGACCAGAGCGAGACAGAGAGAGAGAGAAAAAGACAAAGCAAGCTACTTGAACTGTGGTCAGCCATGTGGGCATCCAGCGCCTTTTAACCACCACGCCACCTGCCGGCCCTGCAGTTTTATTTTTTATGAGAGAGAGTGCAAGCAGACGAAGGAGGAAGAGGTGGGTTTCTTGAGAGGACCTTGCCACACTGAGTTACCTTCTGCCCTACCTCCTGGCCAGCTAGAATCATAGGCACGTACCACGAGCCTGGCCTGTTCAGGTTGGGGCAGGAACTTTTTAAAAATATTATTTATTTAATTTATTAATTAATATTATTATTTTCATTTAACCAGAGAGAGACAAAGAGGGAGAGAAAGGGAAAGTGACAAGGCAAGCTGCCAGGTCTGGGGTCTGAACCACAGTTGGCCATGTGGGAGACAGCGTCCAACCCCCCACCACCTGATGGCCCTGGGTCGGGAACTTAACCTGGGCCTCCATGAGGCCTCAGCCATTGTGCAGCATTACCCGCTCACTTGTTTCACTGCAGCTGGGATGCAATATTATTAAAGCTGCATTTTGTTTTAAAATTCTGCCAGAGGGTACGTGCACTCACTAGAGAGGGAAAGCAAGAAAAGTGAGAAATCCCCCCACCCCCCATGGAGAAGAGCCATGCCACAATCCCTTCCCCATTCCTCTTTCCTTTCAGGATTTTGAGCATGCATGCATACGTGCCTGGTGTGTTTCTCAAACCACTGGGTCCAGGACTTGAACTGTGGTCAGCCATGTGGGACCTAGCCACCGCAACCATGTTACCAACTGGGCCCGTTTATTAGTTTTATAAAGCCACACATTTCTCAGTATGGGTGTACCGTTATTTCCTGAACCAAACCTTGGTTCCCAGACATTTAGTGTTAACTCTAATAGTCAATAATTTTACTTTTATTGGCAAATTCCCAAATGGAATTACTGAATCAAAGGACACCTTACACCTCTATGTCTGCCTTTTAAGTTTTTATTTTTTGGCACTACATTTTCTTTAAAGAATTATTTAATTTTATTTATTATTATTTTTAAAATTTGCTGCAGGGCACAAGCACTCACCAGAGAGAGAGAGAGAGAGAGAGAAAGCCACCAGGTTCAGGACTTGAACTGCAATTGAGCGGGCCTGAGGTTCAGTTCCTGGGCCAACCTGAACACGCTGCTTGTGCATGTGATGCTGGCTGGCTGGCAGGCTTTGGGGTAGGGATCATGGTCTGACAAGACCGTGTTGGGAAAGTACCCCCCCCATGAAATAAACTTTTTTAAAAAAAAGTGACCACACATATGATGTTTCTATTAGCTTTAAAAAGTGACAAATTTTATAATCTTGCAATCTTTTTTTTTTTCTTTTAACACAGGTATATTTCCCAGACAATGGAAAGTTACAGAATCCAATTCTTCAGAGTCCAGATGCCTTCCAAGCTCCCTTGCTTCTGGCTACCACAGGCCAGAAGCCTTTCTTTTTTCTTTTTAAAGTTTTTTGCTATAGGGTGTGTGTGGCTGTGTGAGCAAAAGAGAAAGAGGGAGTCACCCCGGGGGAGGGGGTGGCCATGCAGCGATCCCCTCTCCTCCATTCTACTCTTGGGTTTTGGGGCATCCACGCACACAGCGTGATTTTCAAGCCACCTGGTCAGGGACTCCAACTGCGGTCAACGACATGGGAGTCCAGCGACATGGCCATTACGCTAACTGCTGGGCCTGTGGTCAGAAGCCTTTCATGGAGGATGAGAACCTGTTGGTCTCTTGAGTGAAGACTTGGAATGTCCTCAGAGAACTCTTCGGGTGAAGCCAAGCTGCAGTGACCCACGTGAAAGCTATTCAGACGCTGAGTGGTGTGGAGGGTGCTGACCTACTGAGGATCAAGTTCTCTTCCCGCCCCTCTCACCGGCGAGTCACTGTACCCTCTCGAGGCTCTTGTCTGCAAGCTGAGGGCTGAAGCAGTCCATCTCTAGAGGCCTCCAGGTCTGAGTCCCGACAGTCTGAATGCAGGACACACTTGGGGGCACACGGAGATGCCCAACCAGCTCCGAAAGGGCTTCTGAGGAAGAGGTGGCTGGACCTGCTGCCAACAAGCTGGATCGTTTCAAGTTGAGGTTTAGAGGGGGCTTTGTTCTTCCTTTTGACTTTTTGTTTTCTTATTGCTGCTCAGAGTGGGAAAGGGAGTGCAGGCCCCAGCATCCTTTAATATCCATTGGAAATCTAACGGAAGATCAGGTGGACGTAAGAGCAAACACTGATTTGACCTTGTCTTCCCTGGGTACCGAAAATCACATTCCCTCACTGCGTCCACACTGACCCACACAGAATTGGCTACCAGCTTTAGAAATTTCTGTCTTAAGTAATTCGTTATCGAAATGACATTTCTTGTCAAAAACTTTAGATTTAGCATACTAAATGGTGGGGCTCAATTTAGGTAATACTTCAGTGAAGCAAATGCCAAGACAAAAATAGGTTCTCAGGCCGTTTGCTCCCTGGGGGCGGTGCATGGCAACAGGATCCTGAGGACAGGGTTTTTCTGGTCTTTGCCCATTTACAGTTAATTCAGTGAGAAACTACCTGCAGATGCTATTCTCTCCCAGGTGGAGAGGGGACAAATGCGGAAGGAAATTAACTCTTGTGTTCACTCGAACAAATCACAGTAAGGGACACAGAAAACGCTCTCCCTTGTTTCTGCTGTAGGGCACATAGAGGGACAGTGAGAGAGCATCCCCAGGGTGGGGTGGCCACACTGCAGTCCCCTTTCTTCTTCTCCTCTTGGGATTCTGGGCACCC